GCCTTTTTGAGACGGTAGGCATTTCTCAGCACTTACGAGAGCTACCTAGTGGCAACAGTAGCTCTCACTGGGACCTTTTACCAGCCTTTGACCCCCGTGCTTGATTAGTTGTAATAAAAATAGATCGTCAAAACATGCACAAAAATTTCACTTTTGAAAATGCAATATTTTCCAGTCTTGATAGTTTTTTATCTCCGATTCTCTTTGTGGCCTCTAAGGGTCGATATTTTGACAGCGCAAGGGATAGAAGCAGGTCATGAACTTACAAAAAGTAAAATTGCGTGAGTAAAGTAACAGAAAATTTCTCATATTATATATCGTGACTTTTACGTCGAACTGCCCCAGATATTCAGATATGGTTAAACAAAGGATTTCCGTGTGTGCTTCATCAGTTGTAATAAAAATACATCGTCAAAACATGCACGAAAATTTCACTTTTTAAACTGCAATATTTTCAAGCCCAGTTAGTTTTTATCTCCGATTTTCTTTGTGACCTCTAAGGGTTGATATCTTGACAGCGCAAGGGATAGGGGCAGGCCATGAACTTACAAATAGTTCAATTGTGTGCGAAAAGCAACAGAAAATTTGTCATGTTATATATCGTGACTTCTGCATTTAAACTGTTTCAGAGACCAATTTAAAGACTGAAAGGGTCATTTAATTTCGCTGTCGTAATTAGCTAAGTACTTGTGCTTTGATCAAAATGGGACAGATCCAAAACAACATAGGTACTTAAAGCCACGCCTAATACAATACAACATTCTCGCATGTCTCATCTGGGTATAAAAGAGAAAATGCTCACTTGAATCCTCAGAAGTTGAAATCGATAAAGACAAAAACGAGACCCTGTCACCATATTCAAGATTAGAGCAGAAGAGAGGGCTTAAGAGACCTGGCTAAAGGTTCAAGACTTACTGATTGTTGGCAAGGTAAGATTGTTTAATTTTTCTTGTGATCAAATACCGCACTACTGCAAATCTTTTTAGTGTATCTATATCATTTGTGTGTAGCTGCATGAACGAAGTCTCCACAGTCACTGTTCAAAAGATGAAAAAAGTTCATTACTATTCCAAAAGGAGAAGTGAATGAGGTCATGAGAATCTACAAGGACAAGTGGCAATTTCCTATGTGCGCAGGTGCAATA